ATTATTTAAACTATGTGAAGGTGTGTTACATTTGTTCATGCTTCATTTGTCTAATTATGTGTTGCTTTTTGACCTTGCCTGCCTAAGGCACTTGATTGGTCTAAAAAGCTGAACAGTCAATAGCTAGGCAAAAGAGTGGTAGGTAGGGCTGGCTGGCAGAAAGAATATATAGGAGGAGGAATCTAGAGAGAAGAAGAGAATGAGGGAGAAATAGAGGGACATGCCCAAGACCAGAAAAAGGGCAGCCGGCAGCCAGGAGACAACAGAAGCAGGAAAGAAGTTCCTACCTACCTACCTACCTACCTACATACAGAAAGAAAAAAAGAAAGAAAGATAAAAAGCCTTGAGGCAAAATGATGATAAGGAGAAACAAGTTAAGAGCTAGCAAGAAACAAGCCCAAGATAAGGTTGATAATTCATAACTAATAAGAAGTCTCCATGCCATGATCTGCAATGTAGTTTCTGGCCCCAAACGTAGCTTGCTAGGTGCCCCCACTTACTCTGTCTCAAACTGGTTGTTTCTCTTTTATTATTATTGAATATATATTTATATGTCTGTACACATACCTATTTAAATATGAGCTGCTGAGTCCATTTCCTATTTCTACTATTTATATGAATACAGGGCAGAGCATTTTGTTTTTGATAACCAACTAGGAGGCTCATTCCTGGGAAAAACAATTCTCCCTCTCTCAATAGTCATCTCATAAGGAGTGGCACTATTTGGAGGTGTGGCTTTTTCACAGTAGATCAGTCCTTGTTGGAGGAAATGTATCACTGTGAAGGTGGGTTTTGAGATCTTGTATATGTTTAAGCCATTTCTACTGTCCCAGACCACTTCCTGTTGTCTGTGGGTCAAGATGTACAATGCCCAGCTTCTTCTCCAGCATCATGTCTGTCTGCATGCCACCATATTGCATCATGATGGTTATGGACTATGCCTCTTAAAACGTCAGCCACCCAATTAAATATTTCTCCTTCTAAGATTGTCATGGTCATGATGTCTCTTCACAGCCAATGGAATCCTAATTAAGGCAGTTCAGGATTCATTGCCCTTTAGAGAAGAAATATTATTAGAAACACTGCTAATTTTACTTGGATAGAATCATATTATACATAGGCTTGTGTAGCTCCTCCTCATGTGTTATTAATAGGAATCCTAGTAATCAATTATAGTCATTTTTTTTCATGGTGTCCCATATTTCCTGTGTATTTTGTGTTAAGCTTTTGTTAAATTTAATGTTTACGTTGACCAATGAGTCTATTTTCTCCATTGTGCCTTCAGCGCTTAAGGTTCTCTCTTCCATCTCTTGTGTTCTGCTGTTTATGCTTGCATTTGTAGTTCTTGATCATTTTCTTATATTTTACATTTTCAGAATTACCTCTGTTTGTGTTTTCTTTATTTTGCTTTTCATGTTTTGAATCATTTCTTTACCCTGTTTGATTGCATTTTCTTGATTTTCTTTAAGGGATTTGTTGATTTCTTCCAAATTTTTTGTCTTTTCCTCCATTTCTTTGAGGGATTTTTTCATTTTCTCTTTAAGGGCTTCCACCATTCTCCTAAAGATACTTTTTTAGGTCATTTTCTTCTGCTTCATCTATATTTGGGGTTTCAAGTCTTGCTGTTGTAGAGTCACTAGTTTTTGCTGGTGTCATGTTGTTGTGGTGTTGAGTATGTCCTTGTCTACTTATCTTTTCCTCTGATTGGTTTAGTTGGGGCTGTGTCTCTGGTGAGCAATCTTCCAGGTGCCAGTGGATCCAAGGCTCACCTGATTGCTCCTTGTGGTGCAGGCAGGGCCATGGTTTCAGTCATCTTGGAGGTCACTAGGTGTTTACAGAAGTTGCTAGGCATTCCCAGGGGTAGTTTGCATTCGTAGATAGAGGTTGTTTGGGCCTGATCCCATGAACGTTGCTTTCTTGGGGCTGATCCTACTGAGGACACTGCCTTGGCTCTGCCCTGAAAGAGGTCACTGTCTCAGGCCTCCTCCAGAGGAGGTCACTGACTTGGTTCTACTCTAGCGTAGGTTGCTGTCTAACTGAAAGGCACCTGGTCCTGCAGAGGTGTCTGGCTCAGACCTACTCTCTCAGCGGTTGCTCCCTTGCACCTGCTCCTATGGAGGTCACTGCCATGAGCCTGCTTCAGTGGAGGACACTGGCTCAGGCCTGCTCCTGTGGAGGTCACTGCCTTGAGCCTACTCCTGCAGGGCTCAATATCAGGCTTGTTTCCTCCACAGATGCCCCTGGTTTGGACCTGCTCTCATGGAGGTCCCTGGCTTGGGCCCCATCCCACTGTGGTCTCTGGCTTGGGTCTGCTCCCTTGGAGGACCCTGATTCATGCATGCCATGTCCTGCTGAGGTCTCTGGCTTAGGCCTGCTCTCTCAGTGGTCACTCCCTTGTACCTGCTCCTGTGGAGGTTGCTGCCACTTATATCTTATATATATTATACTTAAAAAAACAGCTGTTAGAGAGGCAATATAAAACCAAAGGTTTATGAGATTAATGGCAATAAAATAGTTCTTAAATTTTTGCTTTTCTTCTGTCCCATATCAGTTGTCTTTCTGACATGAGACAGATTTTGGATTTCACTTTAATAAACATGCTTATTTTTAAGAGAGAGCTACACTCCAACTCCAAAGCCAGTTTTAATCTTTAATTGGATTGGGAGTAGAGAAAGACCATTTACATTATATGTCAGTATGGAACGGGAGAAACAAATATAAGGAAGATTTATGAAATTTTATCCTGTTGGAAATGTGATTTACCAATTGGACAATTTACTCTTTTTCTTGACATTTCTTTTCTTAATGACTTGTTCTTTTTTTTTTCCAGCTGTCTTATTTGTTCTGTGTCTTCAGATTCCTTAGCTGGATATTTTTATTCTCCTGAAAAGACAGAAACATAACTGTCTCCAATTCTAATTTTGTGGAAATTCTCTTTTGGCAAGTTATATCTGATCAAATGAAAAGCATTTGCTAGTATTATAGGTCAGTTTAGATTAAACAGTCATGGTGCTTAATGAGCTATTATCTCTTCTAATTAGGAGGTATCTCTTGTTCGAATCTACTCTTTAACAATTTTGATGGTTTCCTTAATTTTTCTCCTCCCCTGGAAACTAAAACAAATCCATTTCCCCAAAGTAACACATGTCCTGGTTTTACTTTTTATGTCTGTATATGTTTAAAGTATACTGCCTGATTTAATCCCAAAGTTTTTTCTACTATCCAATCTCTGTTCACTGCAATTGCTCCTTTTTCATTAGCATTCAGAAAATTCAAAGTTAATAAAGCGTTATGCAATCTATTTCTGGGGGTATTTATTATCCCTTTCTGTTTACTTAACATATCCTTTAGAGTTTGATTTGATCTTTCTATAATTTCCTACCCTGTAGCATTGTGTGGAATATGCTTTATATTATAAGAAGAAAAATCAGTTTTATTTTCTTAGAGACATATGTTGGAGAATTGTCTCTCTATATTTGTACACGTATACACATAATTGCCATAACTTCTAGCAAATAGTGTAATTACCAAATGAGCCTTTTCTGAACTCAAAGCAGTTGCCCATTGAAAACATGAATAGGTATCAATGGCATAATGTACATATTTTAGTTTTCCAAATTCTACATAATGGAACACATCAATCTGCTAGATTTCATTCCTTTGAGTACCCTTTGCATTACTTCGTGCAAGGAGTGTGTTTGGTTTTGTAAAGAACTTGTAGGATATTTCCTTTTAATATTTTTGGCTTGTTACATGAAGGAAAAGCTTTTTCTAACCTTTGCTATTGACATGATTTTTTTTTTATGAAATTCTGAGTTCTTCAGCACATTTCCAATTAGTAATTGATTGGTTTCTACATACCTTGTTCTACAGGACCTGGAAGAACTGTATAGGATCAGATGTGTGTTATGTATATGGGATTATTCCTATTCCTGAATGTATCTTATAACTGAATAAATAATAAAGTAAATTTTGTATCATCTTATATAAATTCAGTGGTTTCTATATGCAAATAGATTCTTTCTGTATATTGCAAATCGATAACTGTATTCAGAAGTTTATTAAAATCCCTCAGTACCATGAGAATAGCATATAATTCTGACTTTAGGACAGACTCATAAGTGATTTGATCCACTTTACTTAAATTTTCTGATTTGTAACCTGCCTTTCCTGATTCATTTTTAATATTATAGAATGTAGGGGCTCTAGTTATTTGTATTTCCTGTACAAGGAAAGGAAAGATACAGCTAAGTTTCTTTATAGGTTGAATTCTCTGGCTTTGGGAAAATTGTTGTTAATCTCTCCCAAAAACTACTAAACATTCTTTGCCAGGGTTCATTTTGTGTCCATAACTTGTGAGTTTCATCCTTATTAAAAGGTACTGTAAAGGTACTTTGGTCCGGTCTTCATCTGTTTAAACCTGCAGTTCCTTTCATTAATATCTTATTATTATTAGACTTTAAACAGGTACATTAGGTTTCTGGAAGGTGAATACAGAACTGGAGTGAATGCATAACTCTTTGTGGGAATTTCAGTACAAAACCACTGAGTTCTTTCTATCCTTCTGTTTGTTTGATTTTTGCAGAGGAGACAGGGTCTTAAATGTACTTCTGATTGTGCTGGAATTGACTGTATAAATGAGAATAGCTTTTAATTCAGAGGCAGACCTATCTGTCTCTGCTTTCTGAGTGCTGCAATTAAAAGCATGAGTCAGTACACCTTTTTTTTTTTCAGTTGAAATTGTTCATACAATTTCTCTGATGCATACTCAGTACTATTGATCTGTTTTCTTGTCTCTCCACATCTGTTAATACATTTCTCTAGCAAGGTGATATCTCATTCAAAGGGTTCAGAAATGACAAAGGTGATCCTCCTCTTCAGTTTTCTTCTAAACTGACTTGGTGATTGCAATAGAGTTTCTGTGTCATGGAATATGTGTGGATAGCATGAGAATTAAATAACTCTATTTTCAAAGAAGTATACATTTACTGTGTTTTCAGTATCATTTTCTTTGTCCACATCTATGGGATATTTTGGAATGTAGTGACCTATGATGATGTGCATGTTGACTTCACCCGGGAAGAGTGGGCTTTGCTGGATCCTTCCCAGAAGAGTCTCTACAATGATGTGATGCTGGAGACCTGTAGGAACCTCACTGCTATAGGTAAGACTATGAGTTTTCCTTCACATTTTAAAATAAGGGGACAACTTGATTTTGGTTATTGATGTTCTTCTGTAATTATGATTGAGACTGTGAAACGATGATATGAAAAACTCAGGCATGGTTCTCAGGTTCACTGATTATAATTTATTTTATACAATTTCAAATAACATCATATTTTCTTATGCTATATTTTAGGCTACAAATGGGAAGGTCATAATATTGAAGAACATTGTCAAAGTTCTTGGAAACATGGAAGGTAATTTGCATTTGCAAGCTAATACAAATATGCCTTGGAAAAAATTTTAAGATGTCTCGAAGAAAGCAGTAGTATATTAGCACAACTTAAAGTGCATTGATAATTATTGAATTCTCAAAACCATATACCAAAATGTCAAGTAGGTGAATTGTATTTGCAAGTGATTCTTTTAAGAAGGAAGACACGAAAACAATGCCTTAACAGGTATCACCATTTCAATCATAGCCTCATGAGAGCTATGCTGTAGAACTGCCAAGCTATTTAGTTTCATACCATTCCATTACAAAATGTTTGCATGTTGAATAGGTTATAAGTATTATATGTCCAAAGCCTTCTAAGAAGCAAATAGTCCATAGCAGACCTTATGTTACTCATATTCTTGTTGTGACTCTGTTAAGTTTAATGAGAGGAGGTATAGTTAGAGTCAAGAACCAAGGGGAAGTTGTTGTGGAGAAACCTTAGTTAGTATACTATATGTCTATGAGAAAAAGAAAATCAAACCGTGTGACTGCTACATGTACACCCTTTATTGGTTTTTCTCCATTTAATAGGTATGTAATATGTCACTATGGAGACAAGTCATATGAACATGGGATAATGAATGTAGTGACATATCCCTCTTTCTTTCAGAACAATTAGAAGATTTCTAGTTGTCCCCATATTGAATATAGTTGTTGAATGTGATTCAAGCTTACAAGTAATTGCTTTTCCAGCTTCATTGGAAATACATCAACAAACTCACACTGCAGAAAAGCTCTATGAGTACTAGTAATTTGGAAATAATTTTGTTTGTCCTGGTTAACTTTAAAAACATAGTATGACTCACACTGTAGGAAAGTTTTATGAATCCAGTGTGTGGTTCCCAGTTCTCTTCAAATACGTGAAAAATCTCTTATGGAAAACTGATGTTTTAAACGTGAGTCTTGTAAGAAAGGCTCTTACATCACAGGCATATTCAACAGTAAAAAGCAATCTTTAATAAAGGGGAGCAACATGAGTGTAAACAAAGTGATAAAAGTTTAAGATCTGATTGACTTTTATAATTAAACCTAATTGTAACTAATTTATACAGATATTGTCAACAGTATAATGAATGTGGTAAAGCTTTTACATATGCCAATTTTCATTGCAGGCTTAAAAGAAGCCATACTGAAGATAAATCTGAAACTACTCAATGTGTTAAAGACTTTGCATATCATAATCATCTTCAAAGGTATGAAAGAATCTGTACTGGAGAGAAACCCTTTGAATGTAATCAATGTGGTAAAGTCTTTACACATCAGAGTATGCTCAAAAATCATAACAGATCACATACTGGAAAGAAACCCTATGGATGTAATCAATGTGGGAAAGTCTTTTCACTACAGTATTACCTCCAAAGACATAAAGGAACACATACTGGAGAGAAACCCTATGAATGCAACCAATGTGGTAAAGCCGTTGCATGTAACAGCAGTCTTCTATTGCATAAAAGATCCCATAGTGGAGAGAAGCCCTATGAATGCAGCCAATATGGTAAAGCCTTTATACTACAGTATTACCTCCAAAGACATAGAACACATTCTGGAGAGAAACCCTATGAATGTAATCAATGTGGGAAAGCCTTTGCATGTGACAGCAGTCTTGTTTTGCATAAAAGATCCCATAGTGGAGAGAAGCCCTATGAATGTAATCATTGTGGGAAAGCCTTTGCATTTCACTGTCGTCTCCAAAATCATAAAAGAACACATACAGGAGAGAAGCCCTATGAGTGCAATCAGTGTTGTAATGCCTTTGCGCGGAAAAGTCATCTTCTAAGGCATAGAAGAACACATACTGGAGAGAAACCCTATGAATGTAATCATTGTGGGAAAGTCTTTGCACAAAACAGTCACCTTCTAAGGCATAGAAGAACCCATACTGGAGAGAAACCCTATGAATGTGATCAATGTGGTAAAGCCTTTGCATGTAATGATAATCTTGTAGTGCATAAAAGAATACATACTTCAGAGAAACCCTATGAATGTAAACAATGTGGTAAAGCCTTTACACAAGAGAGTCAACTCAAAAATCATAAAAAGAACATATGCTGGAAGAAACCCAATGAACATAATCAATATTAGAAAGCCTTTTCACAACAGAACTATCTCCATGTACATAAAAGAAAACAAATTGTAGGAAAACCCCTATAAAAGTAATCCATGTCGTAAAGACTTTATATGTCTCTGTAGTCTTTTCAATCGTGGGAAAAAAATTATACTACAGAGAATCCTGATAAATTTAGTCAGTGTGGTAATGTTTTGCACTTCATGATAGCTTTTATACAAGATTAATTCTTTCTACGTGCAATCACTCTGTTAAAGCCGTGTCTCTAGCCATATAATTTTTTAAAAACCTTTTTATATCAACTTGAAATCAGGAAATAGTGAAGAATTCATACAAGAGAAAGACCATATTCATGTAAATGATTGGATAAAGACTAGATATTTTAGTTGACATCAGTTTCAAGGAGAAAAAAGTCTTTTTCATTCTATCTTTGAAGGATGTTCCCTCAAGACTGATGGTGGAAATAACTACATTGTGTTCCCTATTTGCAACATTGGATGTCGATATTAAAGTATGCCATATATGACAAATCCACTTATTAAATTTTATTTTGGTGTCCTTATATTCATTGTGTTACTTTGTTTATCCTCCATTGTGCTTCTTCTTAATGATAGTTATATTTTTGCTGCAATGTATTGAATTGGATATCAATCACCAAAGGTGTGTCCATTTTTTTATTTAAATATCAGGCAGTTTGTGATCATAACTTTCAAGTAAATTTGTCTGTGAAAGGGTCATGGACTAATGTTTCTGGTTTTGTTTTTTTATATTTTCATAAATTCCCTTGGGATGTTGTTTGCTATTCCAGCCTATTTGGGATGTCAGTAGTTAGTAAGGGAGATGTTTGAACTCATGATCCTTATGTTTCAGCCTCCTGAGTACAATCCAGTGGCAAATGATGGAAATCATAGGTGTGTGAATTAATATCCTTGTCTTCGACTTGATTCCACTGGTCAACCTCTCTGTTGAGGGGGATCATCTGCCAGGCTGGAAGTTGTTTGGGATGGTCTCTATGATCCACACCCACTGTGAGCCTTGTGGTGTGAAGGTACCTGGGAAGAGGGTCTTGTCAGAAGCCAGCAGTTGAGGAGATATTGTCGAAAGCTACAACAAGCCATAGTGCAATGTTCAGCATTCTTAGCAGACACAAGGCTGATAATGGTAGCAATCTGCCTTACATTCTTTTGATTCATTTTTTTTTCTCATTTGTTTTTAAAGATAGGGTTTTTCTGTATAGTAGCCTTGGCTGTCCTGGAACTCACTTTTTTATATCAGGATCTATGCAAACTCACAGAGATCAGCCTCCATCTGCCTCCGAGTGTGACTATAAAAGGCATGCGCCATCACATCTAGCTTGATTTATTGCTATCCATTTATTTGAGTCTGGATTTCTCTATTCATATTTGGTTGCTATTTATTTTTGTTTCAGTCCAGGTTTCTCTCTAGCTTTGGATGTTCTGTAACTTTCTTTATAGACCAGGCTGTCCTTGAACTCACAGAGTTCTGCCAGCCCCTTACTCTTGAGTATTCTACCACTGCCCAGCTATTTTGTTGGTTTTGAGTCAATATATTTGCTAAATGCCGCAGACTACCCTTCAGTCTTCCATATTCCTACCATGAATCAGAAGACCTGGGCTCACGGCCTTGTGCCACCATACCTAGCTGGCTCATGTTTATCTGATCCACTCATCCATCCGTAGATAAATGGCTTGAACCCACACCTCTTGGCTACTATGACTAATGCTGAACCTCATGCACACAGGATCTCTGTTCAAAATATATTCTGAAGTGCAGTCATTTCATCACAGAAATACATTGAGCCTACCCTCAGGCTTCAGGGGGCCCCCAGATTCTTACCTCGGCTATGGTTGTAGATGTGCCCAGAGTCTGTGCAGAACACTCATTTGGGGATTCCTTCCACCTGCCCAAGTGTCTAGCAGTCAACATCAAGTGTAAAACTTGCCTGCTCCTCAGGAAGATCCAGGACTTGCCTGTTGTGATTCAAGGTCTTTCACTGTCTCCACTGCAGTTTGCCTTCAAACGTTCTTAAATGTAGCTGCAATATGAACAAGGCTCTATGTGACCCCCAGCTCCATCTTTTCAATTCAGTATTCCTCCTTGCCAATTCTCCTGGTTGTCTTATCTGTCCCAAGTACAGGGGAATGACAATAATGGGCTACTCTCACTGGAACAAAAAAGTGATGGATCAGCAAGGGGCAGAGTAACAGAGGATTGGTGACCACTGCAGCATAAGATTACAGTTCTTCACTCAGACAGTAGCTATCTGGAGCCTCCAGCCTAACCTGATGAGTCATATGGGACCGATCTGTAGCACCAGATTCAGGATATTGGCCTGGATATCCAGATCCTACCATCTTCTTACAGTCTGAGCTTTTAAGTATGAACTCAGTCTTTTTTGTTTGTTTGTTTGTTTGTTTAAGATGAGGCAGTCAGTTCTTCAGCTACTATTCTGTTCTTCCAGATTCTATTTGGACAGTGCTCTCAACTACCTCCACCAAGCCACAGTCATGTGGGGAACTTTCATGATGCTGCTGGGACTTGAGCAACAGCTGTCATTTAGTGTCATCCCATATCATGAGGTTCCTTCAGATGCTTGCTCCTTTTCCATACATAGATATTCAGCCAGTGGAAGAGTAGAACACAGCCTTGTGAAATCAAAAGGCAGCTAAGTCACAAAGAATCTGCAACCCATTCAGACATCAGTTAAGAACCTCATCATTTCTTGGGTAATGGTGAGTGTATGAGGTCTGACATTGGGACCCTTATTCTCGAGGCATCTAAGGACACCTGTTGTTCCAGGCAGATAAGAAAGTTCAGGTCTGAGTTCTGCTCATTTAGGGATGGAAGTGTCTGAATTAACAGCTACTCATATCTCTTTTTTAAAACTTGTTGAAACAATGAGCTTCATTTTGGGGTTACTTAGAGGAATATGGAAAAATAATTGCTTACTGTAGTGCAAGGGACTCTAAGACTGTTGTAATCATAAAGATACAATCATAGGATGCAGATAAGCATACAGGCCACCTAGAGCATACTGCAGGATTGTAGGCATAATACAAATTAAAGTTCATTCTGTCTTGGTGGATCATTTTATCAAATCTACTTCAAACAGTATGATCTGACATTCTCCATTTGAGTTAAGCATTCTGAATCCTGTCAGTTTCAAGAATTCTTTGAAGCTTTATTGAGGTGTACATTTCCTGAATTAGTCAGCTCCTGTCAAAGACAAATCACTTCAGTCTCCAGGAACCTGCTACAAAGCATCACATTCTTCAGGGGTCTGTGTTTTATCCTCATTAAGAAGCATTTAAGGTTGCGTAAGTGTAAAAAGTTTTAAAGATGGTTTTCATACATTGTCATATTTTCAGAACTTCTCTCAGTATAATTTTTTTTTTTTTTTTTTTGGTTTTTCGAGACAGGGTTTCTCTGGCTTTGGAGCCTGTCCTGGAACTAGCTCTGTAGACCAGGCTGGTCTCGAACTCACAGAGATCCGCCTGCCTCTGCCTCCCGAGTGCTGGGATTAAAGGCGTGCGCCACCACCGCCCGGCTTCAGTATAATTTTTTAATGTTATTTTATTACTTAAAAATACTAATTCAAATTCCCACTTCCTTCCACTCCCCACTACCTCCCCTTCTCCTACCCCCTCCTACTCCCTTCACAGACCCCCCCACCCCACCCCCTCCAATCCTAATAGAGGGCCATGCACCCCACCCTGTGGAAGGTCCAAGGCCTTCCCTACACATCTAGGTTGAGCCAGGTTTACATACGAAGAGAATAGGATCCCAAGAAGCAGTACATGCTGTAGAGACAAATCCCAGTGTCACTATCATTGGCCCCTCAGTCTGCCCCAACTGTCAACCCCCTTCAGAGTTGACTCCTGGTCCATTTGGAGTTGGTGAGCTACCATTAGCTCAAGCAAACTGTCTCAGTGGATGAACCCCTCATGGTCTTGGATTCTTTGCTCAAACTCTCACTTTTTCTACTCTTCAACTGAATATGGGAGCTCAGTCCAGTGCTCTGATGTGGGTCATTGCCTCTGTTCCCATCTGTTGGACGAAGGTCTATGGTGATATTTAAGATAATCATCAGTCTGACTACAGGGTAAGGTCAGTTCAGACACCCTCTCTATTGCTTAGGGTCTTAGCTAGTGTCATCCCTGTGAATTCTTGGTTATTATCTAGAGCCAGGTTTCTTGCTAACTCCATAATAGCTCCCGCAATCAAGATATCTCTTTCCTTGCTGTCATATCTGTCCTTCCTCAACCTCGACTATCCCATTCCCTCAAGTTCTCCTCAATCCCCTCCTCCCTTTCCTTCTACCCCCTCCCACCATGCTCCCAAATTTTTGTCTGTTTCCAATTTCCAAAAGGGTCTATATATGTTTTTCTTTGGGTTCACCTTATTACTTAGTTTCTCTAGGATCATGAACTATAGGCTCGATGCCCCCCCCTTTTTATGCCTAGTATCCACTTATGAGTGAGTACATACCATATTCATTTTTTTTTGTGTGTGTTTGGGTTACCTCATTCATGATAGCGTTTTCTAATTCCGTCCATTTGCATGCAAAATTCAAGATGTCATTATTTTCTTACTGTTGAGTAGTACTCTAATGTGTAGATGTGCCACACTTTATCCATTCTTCAGTTTAGGGGCATCTAGGTTGTTGCCAGGTTCTGGCTATTACAAATAATGCTGTTATGAACATAGTTGAACAAATGCTTTTATAGTATGATTGAGCATCTTTTGGGTATATTCCCAAAGTGGTATTGCTGGATCCTGAGGTAGATTGATTCCCAGTTTTCTGAGAAACCACCACACTGATTTCCAAAGTGGTTGCACAATTTTGTATTCCCACCATCAATGGATGAGTGTTCCCCTTACTCCACATCCTTTCCAGCATAGGTTATCATTGTTGTTTTTTATTTTAGCCTTTCTGACAGGTATAAGATGGTATCTCAGCTGTTTTGATTTGCATTTCCCTGATAGCCAAGGAAGTTGAACATGTCCTTAAGTGTCTTTTGGCCATTTGAAATTCTTCTGTTGAGAATTCTGTTTAGTTCAGTACACCACTTTTTAATTGGTTTATTTAGAATTTTAATGTCTAATTTCTTGAGTTCTTTATATATTTTGGAGATCAGTCCTTTGTCTGATATGGGGTTGGTGAAGATTTTTTTTCCATTCAGTAGGCTGCCTTTTTTGTCTTATTGACTGTGTCCTTTGCTCTACAGAAGCTTCTCAGTTTCAGGAGGTCCCATTTATTCATTGTTGCTCTTATTGTCTGTGCTACTGGAGTTATTTAAGAAGTGATCTCCTGTGCCCATGCATTGAAGGTTACTTCCCACTTTCTCCTCTGTCAGGTTCAGTGTGGTCAAAGTTATATTGAGGTCTTTAATCCATTTGGACTTGAGTTTTGTCCATGGCAATATTTGTGGATCTATTTTCATTCTGCTACAAGTTGGCATCCAGTTATGCTAGCATGATTTGTGGAAGATGCTTTCTTTTTTGCATTGTATAATTTTAGCTTCTTTGTCAAAAATCAGGTGTTCATAGGTGTGTGGATTAATATCCTGGATTGAGGGCTAGCAGGCAAGCTCCTTGCTGGTGGCTAGAAATGCCGAGGAACCTGGGAAGGGCCCCCTGGCTTTTCTCCCCCCTGGAGTTCTTAGGGAGTGGTGTGTCTGGGTCACAGGGCCGCTGCTTACGTACCTCTTATGTCCCCCAAGTATTGGCGCCGAATGTATGACAGAGTTCCACGGAGTATGGGAGATCTTTCCATTTTCCGGTTTCTTCATTTTTTTTCTTCAAAGTTTTAAAGTTCTTGTCATACACATTTTTTGCTTGTTTGGTTGTAGTTACCCCAAGATATTTTATATTATTTGTGGGTATTGTGAAGGGTGATGTTTCTCTGATTTTTTTCTCAACCTGTTTATCATCTCTTTAAAGGAGGTCTACTGATTTTTCGACTTAATCTTGTATCCTGCTAAATTACTGAATGTGTTCATGAATTGTAGGAGCTCCCTTGGTAGAGTTCTTGGGGTCTCTTATGTATACTATCATATCATCAGCAAATAGTGAGAGTTTGACTTCTTTTCCAATTTATATCCCCTTGATCTCCTTTTGTTGTCTTATTACTGTAACTAGGTGTACTATATCTATTCAAGTACTATACTGAATAGATAAGGAGATAGTGGACAACCTTGTCTTGTTCCTGATTTTAGTGGGATCAATTTGGATTTCTCTCCATTTAATTTGATGTTGGCTGTTGGCTTGCTCTGTATTGCCTTTTTGTGTGTGTGTTTAGATAAGTTTCTTCTATCCCTGCTTTCTCCAAGACTTTTGTCATGAATGGCTGTAGTAATAGGAGCGGTGGGGCTGCGTCCCCAGCACCCCGGCCGCCTGGCTAGCTTATGCCCCGAAATAACAACACACAAATTGTATTTATTTAAACACTGCTTGGCCCATTATATCTATCCTCTTCTCGGCTAACTCTTGCACCTGGACTAGCCCATTTCTAATAATCTGTGTAGCATCAGTCTTACCTGGAAGGATTCTAGCCTACGTCCATCCTGGGTTGGAGCTTCATTGCGTGTGCCTCAGAGAGCAGAGCTATCATGTCTGCCCGGGAGAGGGGAGCATGGCGTCTCTCTGAGCTCACTTCCTCTTCCTCCCAGCATTCTGTTCTGTTTATTCCTCCCATCTATGCTTTAACCTATCAGGGCCAAGCAGTTTCTTTATTGCTTAACCAGTGAAATCAACAGATTGATATATGACATTCCCACATCACTTCCCCTTTTTCTGTTTAAACAAAAAAAAAGGCTTTAACTTTAACATAGCAAAATTACATATAACAAAACAGTTATCAAGTAAAAATTACAATATTTACATCTATTTTATCTTTCTCATAACAAAGGAAAACAACTTAACTATCTATCTATTCTTCAACTGCCTCAAAGACCCCAGAAGGATACAATATTACCTAAGCAAACAAGAAATAAGCAACTTTCAAAACTCTAGAAATGACAGAGACAT